ATTGCTGGAACAAGAGCTCTTCTCCCCCAGTTTCTCCTGCCCGTGCTGGACAAAGCTATTTCCTGCACTGGGAACTGCTGCACATCCTAATGGACATAATGAAATGAACATGGAACACATCAAAGGCCTCCTTGCTGCACTTTTGTTTCTTTTCCATAGCACATGAGGGACCAAGGGGGCAGAGGGCTGGTGGAAACCATGCCAAGGTGTTGGCTTCTCCTTCCTTGCCTGTGATTGCTGCTCAAGGTAGATTTACCCTGATATGACTCAACCCAGGGCAGGAGTCTGTGCAGAAAAGCAGAATACTGAGCCTTGCTTGGATGAATAATTTGAATGCAGGCCCTCAGATTCATTTGTCAAGGAGATAATAGAAAGGAGGTTGTTTGTGCATTAAAGGGGAAAAAACCCAAGCACACTGTAATACAGTGACACAAAAGCTGGGATCCATTGTATTTGCGTGGTGACAAGCCATGTGAGAGGCCTCAGCCAAGCTTGTCAATGACTCCACCTAATGCCCTTCTAACCCCTGCTCTCACAAAATGATTTCTCTGTTTCCAGCAAACATTTTGGGGTTGCACATGCTGACCAGAGCTGTTCCAAAGCCTGGGAGCAGAGTGGCTGTCTCCTGCAGGGTTCATGAATTCTGCCTGTGTGCTGCTTTCAGCCAGCTGGCCATTTCCAGCTGGAATCTGGGATGCAGATCGTGTTTGACCAGGTGGCTTGCCCAGACAGGCACTGGGCTACACAAGACAGATGATGGACTTTGGTTAGCGTAAGGAATTTGGTAACAGGATGCCTTGGCAAGAGCAAACAGAACTTTGAGGATTAAATCAAGATTGTGAGAAGATTCAATCACATGGAATATACTGGGATAAGAAAATTACATCAGACTTCAGCAAGCAAGAGATGTTTAAAATTAATAAGTTTGTTTATGTGATTTTTAACCCAATCATTGTAGTAACACATTACTATCCTCCCTAAAATACTATATAAGCAGTTGTACTTCACAATAAACTCGGATTTTTGCCCATCCTTCTCTCTCTCTCTGCATTGCCAACAGACAGGTCTTTACTGGGAATCTTTGCACACCACACCTGAGGCTGTGCAAAGTGCTGGAACACAGGAAGGGCCAGGGGGAACCCTTCACTCCTCAGGACATCCCGAGCTCGGGGTGAACCCAGTGCTGCCTACCAAGTCCCGGTAGAAATTCTGAGCTCCTGTTCCTTGGCAGCCATTGATTGTTTGCATAGCCACAGCACTTTGAGGGTCCAGGTGCACTGTTTGTGCTGCTGGAGGGGTTTTGCTGAAGCTGCAGACACGACCAAGCTTCTCAAAGCAGCCAGGAGGCTCTGGATGAGGGTGAATCCAGCTGCAGGTCCCGGAGGGTTTGCCCTGCTGCCAGCAGCCCTGAGCAGCTCACCCCGACAGCTCCTGCCCTGCTCTGTGCCAGGCCCTCCAGGGGCACAGGGCTCTGCACACAAGAGGCAGATTTGCTGTTCTGCTCCTCACAGCTCGCTCAGCCCGGCCTCCCAGGCTCTGTTTCGCTGCTGGCATCTCCAAACTCCATAAATTCTGCTGTTCTCCCAAAGTGATCTGAGCTGAGGGATCCCAGCTCTGCTGTGCACGGAGCACGGGAGCTGTGAGCTCCTCTGGGGCTGCACACTCAGCTGCAGCAGCAGTGAAATGATCTCCTAACTCTGCTCTCCAGGCTCTGCTCACAGCACCAGGCCATCCCAAAGCATCCCTGCTCCCTGCAGATTGCTCCCTGCAGAAAACCCAGCTGGCAGATTTCTGCCTTTCGAGAATGGGACTGGACATGGGGGGCACAGCCACCTCCTGCCACCCCTGGGCACTGTGGTGAAGCCAAGGGAGCAGAGATGGAGCCCCTCACCCAGCTGTGTGCCAGGGCACCCCTGCATCGTGCCCTCGCTTCCCCAGCAAAGCTGCAGCCTTCTTTTGGCTGCACAGTCCCTCACAGGAGAGCTGTGAAACCTGTATCAAAGCAGAAAAACGTCTCAAAAATGAGATAATTAAGACTAAAGCTCAATGGGATTGGAAACCTAGATATCCCTCATTTTCTAATGGTTCTTTTCAGAATTCAGACTTATGGTTGGCAGTGTGCTGTAATACATCCCAGCTCCTGTGGAATTTATTTGAAATGGCTCAGAGCAAGCCCTTCCCTCTGGCCATTCCCTGCCAGCCTCAAACAAGACCTGGGAGGAAAAGCAGATCTGCTCTTAGTGGTGAAAATTCTCTTCAAATTTAAGGAAACTGACCTTGGAGCAATGCAGTGGGAGCCTGGACCCATTTCCCAGAGTTTCAGCATCCCTGCAAATCTCCCGTGATGACAATCAGGCCAGAAATCAGAGCATGAAAATACAAATGTCAAGCGAAAGGATACAATTGTTCATGCCTGGCAGAAACCAAACACCCTGATCTGCCAGCACAGTTTTACTCCTGTAAGTGCTGCAGATAATCTCACTTACAGGCAGATATGCATGGCAGGAGCTGAAAGCACCATTAAAGGCTTACACAGTGTTGCCTATAATTTAGGATCCACTAAAAGCACAAACGTGTGTTGTGCAATTCCTTAAATATTAAGCTGGCATGTGTAGATTATTTTTGTTCATTTTTTTCTCTCTCTCTCTTACACACACCAGGGGTTTTGCTGCTCCTGCACCTTGCTGCCCTGGGGGATCCTGGGCAGCAGCAGAAGCAGCTGGGAGCAGCCTGGGTCAGGAGCAGGCATGGGAGGCAGCAGAGAGGCTCTGGGACTTCTGCCTCTGCACCTCCCCTCCCTTCTGGCTTCCCAAACGAGCCCAGGTGCATCCACAGGACCATCCAGGTCTGACTTTCCCTCTTTGTGGAAAGTCTCCCTTCCTTGAAAGGATGATTTTGATCCAGACAGAAAAATTTCGTATTATTGTCCCTTGTTTGGGGTTTTCTGCAGGACCAGGGAGCACAGAAAAGACAGCTCCTGACCTTTAGAGTGGTCACCCATCTGGCAGGGAGGGTGACAGCCCCTGCCACCACCCTGTCCCTCTCCCGTGGCTCTGCTGAGCCCTGCTGCTGCCTGAGCTGCTGCTGCCACTCCCCCTGCTCCGTGTCCACGGCTGTCCTGGAGACAGACACCTCTCCTGAGCCCAAATGCAACATCTCATGGGATGCTGCACCAGTGGGGAGAGCATTTAATGTGAAAATTTCCACCCTGCAGCGCTGCTGCACAGGGGCAGCTCCAGCAGAAGGGAAGGATGGCACTGGAGAGGGCAGAGGCAGCAGAGCTTGTCCCAGCTCTGGGATCACTCTGACACATCAGACACACAGCCTGGGCAGGAATGCAGGTTTGCTTGCTGTTTCTTGCCCTTGGAGGAACTGTGGAGAGGAAGAGCCTCTCTTGCAGGCAGGACCTGCTCCAGCCCCAGCTGCTGTGAATACCTTGCAACAATCAACATGTCTAAAATAGTATTTTTTGCTTTAAAAGATGGAAAAACACTGAAGTCCTGTGAAATCCAGCCCTTGCCTGTGCTCAGGAGACTGGTGCATGGTGGTGCAGCTGTTCCCAGCACAGGGTGACCAGAGAGGACTGAGCTGGCTTTTGTGGGGAATGAAATGTATTTGCAACAAGACAGTGGGCTGGGGGTGTATGAGGATTAATTTCAACATCTCCACTGATTTAATTTGCTCCTGGCCCAAGTCCCTGAGCAATAATAAGCTTAAATTAAATATTTACATCTGCAAATGTGTCTCAGAGTGTTCTTTATCTAATTCCCTCTTATCTTTCAGGTGCTCGCTGTACCAGGTGAGCCCCAGCCAGGTCTGGGATCACTGATGGAGCTGGAGCCCAGCCTGGGGTGGCTCCCAGGGTACAGGGGCCAAGTGTGGAGGTGTTTAGGGGATAAATGATCCCTTTGTGCTGAGAGAGTCCTTGCCTGGCCACAGACTGGTCCCCAAGGGGGGCTGCCATGCTCTCCAGTCTCTCCCAGCATCTCTGTGCCACGAGCAGCCAGTGCTGCTCCATCACTCGTGGCTCAAGGCAGGTGTTCTTCACAAAGGAGGAAAAACCTCTGCTCTGGCATTTCCAGTGTCTGACAGTGCTGCCCTGATGGTGTTTGGTACCAAATGTTCCACTGGGGTAGCAATATTTAAAGCTACTATTCCTTATCTCACAAAAAATGCTCATGGTCTGTTGGAACCTTGGTTAATGAGAGTTTTAGACTTTCTGTGCTGCCAGCACTGGCCCCCAAGAGAACTCTGCATTTGACCTGAGGCCATGGAAAAGGCTTCCAAAATTGAGTGACAGAACTGAGATTGTGGGTGTGGAATTTGAATAGAAGTGTGTGATATCACATGGTAGAAAACTTAGAGTTTAAGGGTTTAGAATATAGTAACATATATAAAGCCAGGTGGAGGTTTCAGGATGGAGGCTGCTCCTTCTTCTTCACCTTCTTCTTCACCTTCTTCTCCATGGGTTTGGGTTGTTTTGTGTAACTGGATAAAAAAGTCCACATTGCGGGCACGGGTGGTTGGTTATTGAGTTAAAAGTAAAAATAATTTAGGTATCATTTCTTAATTGGACATTTTATCCTTAGAAAGCCTCGTAGAGAGAGAGATAAAACTCCATTTTTAGTTTGTTGGAGTGAAGTGCTGCAGAACTCAGGGTTTGTGAGACTGTGACATAGATAAGAACTAATAAACATCTGAGTCCCAACAAGAAATTCCATCTCACACATTTAATCCTGACCCTGGCAGAAAAGAAGTTAAAACTCAATGATGGTCATTTATGGAGTGGCTTTGCTTTGTGTCCAGGGTTATCTGCCTCATGTCATGGGTCTTTCTTACAGTTTGTACTTGTCAAGTTACATCTTCCTGCTTTGCCTGATATCACCAGCCCCTTGGTTATCTCTGACCATTTTCTTAGCAGCCTTTTTTTTGCAGGGTTCACTTTCTGCTTTCAGAAGAGAAGCACTTCAGAAATCACCATTCCTACACTCTCCACTGACCATGCTGGACCTGCTGATAATGCTCACCCCTCTCCACAGCATTCCTGCAGATTTAAATCCTGGGACCAATCTCATCAAGGTAGGGAAATCTTTCCTAGTTTTAATTAGAGGTAATTGGAAGTATCTAGAGTGTTCTGGCAAATTTCCCTCATTTGTGATGCTGTCATAGGGACCTCTGATGCCTTAGGATTTTAGTTTTTATATTTTTCAGATCCTGTACTGCATTAGTGCATAACTCCAGACTCCATACAGATTGTTAGCTACTGTCTTCACATTTTGGTCAGACAAAAAACAAGGACACCCTACAGCCTCAGGCCCCAAAAAGTACCAACATAAATGAATGGGAGGAGCAAACTGGGGGTAAGTTACCTCATTACCTGAAGCTGTAATTGGAGAACTAACCCCTGATATGTAAATGGACCAAACTTTTAATTGTCTGTAAAACTGGTGCCCATTGTCCACCTTGGGTGCAGCCTCTGGGAGGCTTCTGACTGCCCAAGGTGTGGCTATTGAAGGCCTTCAGTAAATACCCACTTTATTCTCTGAATCTTGTCCAGCCTCTGTTCTACAGCCCCTCCAAGGCATCAGCTCCAGCTGTACACACCTGAGTATGACTTTTAAAGCCCTGGTAGGCTGGAGCCTGCCACCAGGACAGCCACAGGAGAGGCATTCCCAGGGGTGACAGAACATCCGACAGCAGGGGAGTTCTAAAGTGGGAAATGGGCATCATCAGCTCCTGCCTGGTTGGGGGTCACAGGCAAAAGGCAGCTGAGGAATCACCTTACCTGTCTGACAGCACAGAGCAGCTTCCCATAGGAATAGACAATGATGGCAAAAGGGATTACGAGGCAAAAAATGAAAAGGCAGATGATGTAGGATGCGTTGTTGGCATCCTGGGAGTGCCAGTTCACAGAGCAGGTTATCCCTGGTCCTTCTGGCCCGTAGCTGCTCCACCAAGAAGTGGGGGAACAGTCCAGAGCAGGGAGTATGTCCAGGACAGGATGATGCCTGTCCAAGCTTTCCTGGAGTTGGTGGTGTCAGGCTCTGCTGTCCTTTCATGGTGCAGCAGCGCTCGTACGAGAGCACAGCCAGGGAGATGAGCGAGGTGATGCCTGTGGCAAACCAGAGCCTTGAATCAGCAAAAAATGAATCACTGAAGGCTTTGCTCTGCCTCCCCCCCAAAAAAATATTTCGAGCCATGAGTGAGATTGATGGCACTGGCTTTGGAAACAAGGTGGGCAAGGACTGGGACTGGAGGTGTTCCCCTATGAGTGAGAGGTGCTGAGAGCTCTCACCAAGAGCTGGGGCTGCTTAAACAGTGTCCAGCCAAAGCCAGTCAGCCATAAATGCTCATCAATAATTAAGCACACCTGTCTGAATGGATAAGTGTGTGTGTGTGTGTGTGTGTGTGTGTGTGTGAGTGACCTGCAGCAAAATCCTGGCTTCTCCATCAGATTTGGTTCTTGCTGCACCTGTACAATTTGAGATTAATATCTAGATTTGCCCAAAGTGTGGTGCTCCTCTGCCAGCTCTGAAGTGCAGCCTCCTGAGCCCTTCTTGGGGAAGTGCAGCCCCACATTGTTTCCATACAGATTTCATGCTGTGCATAATGAAGAGCTGTAGATTAAACCCGTGTTCTGAAGCCCCTGTGTCAGCAAGTGCCCCCCTCGGGGGGACAGGCAGCTCGTGGGCCTTTGCAGAGACAGTGATGGGTCTCCTGCAATTGGAGTACTGCCAGCAGACACCAGTGGGACAACAAAACCACCAGCAGCAAATCAAAGGCTTCTTTTGCATGCAGAAATGCTGGGGAGAGGTAATTTCTGAAGCTGATACAAGAGTTTGGAATTTCCCTCCACACACACCTCCAGGGCTGCATTGTGGAAGAGATGCCGGCAGCTACAAGGGGATGTTGCTGGATGCTGACACACTCCTGCTGAACTTTCCTTGCCAAGTAATGGTTTTACATGCACAAATTTGGCTTTTTACCCTGTATAACTTCATGAAGGAAAGAGATGGCAGCAAAGAGCTGCTGCAAATATCTCTTTAGAGTGTGCATAAGCAGAGTCAGTGTCTCCTAAGTGGCTGTGTGAAGCCTCGATGCCAGGCTAAGCTGTGTTCCTGGGGAGGTTCAGGTTTGTTCTGATGGGCAGAGGGATGCTGTGCTGGTAAAGCCTCTGCTCCATGTGAATGCTGGCTAGGGGAGAGCCCCAGCGATGTGTGTCAGTGTCTGCAGTGGTACAGCAGGCTGGGAGACACTGTCAGCACTGGGAAGGTTGAAAACGTGAGCTATTGTCATGTATATCACGATATCCATTGTACCTTCCGCCCCCACAGCCCCCAGCGCTGCGCGGGGCTCTCCCTCCGTGTGCCCGGCGGGCACGGAGGGCAGGGATGGGCAAAGGAGGGCAGGGATGGGCAAAGGAGAGGTGCACAGGGATGGATAAATGAGAGGTGCACAGGGCTGGGAAAGGAGAGGTGCACAGGGCTGGGCAAAGGAGAGGTGCACAGGGCTGGATAAAGGAGAGGTGCACAGGGCTGGATAAAGGAGAGGTGCACAGAGCTGGGTAAAGGGGAGGTGCCCAGGGCTGGGAAAGGAGAGGTGCACAGGGCTGGGTAAAAGAGGGGTGCCCAGGGCTGGATAAAGGAGAGGTGCACAGGGCTGGGAAAGGAGAGGTGCACAGAGCTGGATAAAGGGGAGGTGCACAGGGCTGGGCAAAGGGGAGGTGCACAGGGATGGGCAAAGGAAAGGTGCACAGGGCTGGATAAATGAGAGGTGCACAGGGCTGGGCAAAGGGGAGGTGCACAGGGCTGGATAAAGGAGAGGTGCACAGGGCTGGATAAAGGAGAGGTGCACAGGGCTGGGAAAGGAGAGGTGCACAGGGATGGGCAAAGGAGAGGTGCACAGGGCTGGATAAAGGGGAGGTGCACAGGGCTGGGCAAAGGAGAGGTGCACAGGGCTGGATAAAGGGGAGGTGCACAGGGCTGGATAAAGGAGAGGTGCCCAGGGCTGGATAAAGGAGAGGTGCACAGGGATGGATAAATGAGAGGTGCACAGGGCTGGATAAAGGAGAGGTGCACAGGGCTGGATAAAGGAGAGGTGCACAGGGCTGGGAAAGGAGAGGTGCACAGGGCTGGATAAAGGGGAGGTGCACAGGGCTGGATAAAGGGGAGGTGCACAGGGATGGGCAAAGGAGAAGTGCACAGGGCTGGATAAAGGGGAGGTGCACAGGGCTGCTCTTTTCAGCCGGCCTGTCCTGCCCGGTGGCATCTGGGGTCAGGGCTGGCAGCCACCAGATTTCCAAGCACTCGCGGCTGTGAGGGATCAGGGCTGCCCGCGCTGAATGCGACACTCAGGGACAGGGTTCAGTGGTGGGCCTGGCAGTGCTGCGGCAGAAATTGAACTCGGTGAGCTTAAAGGTCTTTTCTAACCTAAACGAGGCTGATTCTATCCCCGTTTTCATCCTTTAAAGTTTGTAAAGCTCTTCCTCAGCCGCTGGAAACACGCTGTGGAGCCTGAATGAGGACTCACACTTAACGTTGCCTGGGCTTTTTCCAGCAAAACAACCGCTGAAGTTGGGAAAGTTTCCCCCCAGCCCTGAGCTCCTGGCGTGCCGGGTGTCCCCCCCCCCAGGCGCAGCCCGAGCTTGGCTGCTACGAGCAATTAGTACTGAAAAGGAGTGTGAAGCCTGGTATTCCCCCTCTTTTCGTTTTTTTTTTTTTTTTTTTTTTTTTCCTCTTTTTATCAGTTGGCACTTCAGAGTATCTCTGCTTGTAATAACCTTCAAGTTTGTTTGGTTTTTTTAAAACAAAACCCCTGCACTTTGGGAAAACTGGCTGCTTCTTGCCTTCCCTCTGGGCTGCTAAGGGGATGGACAGGGTCCACCATGATGCAATTATTTATCAGCATTTCTGAAGACTAAGAATGTAACTGGGCATGTAGCTCAAGAGGTCAGTCACCTGAAACTGCACTTTAGATAAAAAATAAGGATGGAGAAACAGCCCTCCTCTGGACTTGCCCTTCAATGTCTTTCATGCCCAGAACTGAACACAGGATTTGAGGTGCATACATTCAGGTACTTCTTAATGCAGCGAAGAATGTGCCTGTCCAAACTGTGGGCTGCCAGTTTTCCCGGGAGAATACTGTGGGATGTTTCAGACCATTTACTGAAAATGTGTCAAGTAGTCGTTTTGATAATGCAAAATTGGTTTGATCACCTGGAAAATCCTGTGGCAAAAGGACTTGCCAACTCATTTGGGGAAAAGGTGCTACGGTGCAGCACGTCTGTCTCTTTGATCGTTTGGGAACTTGGCTGGAACTGCACAGCTGCTGGTGAAACTGGTTTCTCCTCTGAAAGAAAGGATAGGAATTGCCTAAACCCCAATGTGGAGTCAGAAGCGATTTCGTTACGTCTTCCTCGATTTTAGCAACAGCCACAAGATGGCACAGGGCCGCTCCGAGTAGGATGAGGCTCGGCTCCCTGGTGGTTTTTCAAGCTGCTGGAGCAATGGCTCGGCTGAGCGCTCGGAACGGAACCGCGGGCACACAGTGCCTGAGAACCGCGGGCACACGGTGCTGGAGAACCGCGGGCACACGGTGTCTGAGAACCGCGGGCACACGGTGTCTGAGAACCGCGGGCACACGGTGCTGGAGAACCGCGGGCACACGGTGCCCGAGAACCGCGGGCACACGGTGTCTGAGAACCGCGGGCACACGGTGCTGGAGAACCGCGGGCACACGGTGTCTGAGAACCGCGGGCACACGGTGCCCGAGAACCGCGGGCACACGGTGTCTGAGAACCGGGGGCACACGGTGCCCGAGAACCGCGGGCACACGGTGCTGGAGAACCGCGGGCACACGGTGCCCGAGAACCGCGGGCACACGGTGTCTGAGAACCGCGGGCACACGGTGCTGGAGAACCGCGGGCACACGGTGTCCCAGAACCGCGGGCACACGGTGCTGGAGAACCGCGGGCACACGTGTCTGAGAGCTGCGGGCACACGGTGCCGGAGAACCGCGGGCACACGGTGTCTGAGAGCCGCGGGCACACGTGTCCGAGAACCGCGGGCACACGGTGTCCGAGAACCGCGGGCACACGGTGTCCGAGAACCGCAGGCACACGGTGTGCAAGAGCCGCGGGCACACGGTGCTGGAGAACCGCGGGCACACGGTGTCTGAGAACCGCGGGCACACGGTGCCCGAGAGCCGCGGGCACACGGTGCTGGAGAACCGCGGGCACACGGTGTCTGAGAACCGCAGGCACACGGTGTCCGAGAACCGCGGGCACACGGTGCCCGAGAGCCGCGGGCACACGGTGCTGGAGAACCGCGGGCACACGGTGTCTGAGAACCGGGGGCACACGGTGTCTGAGAACCGCGGGCACACGGTGCTGGAGAACCGCGGGCACACGGTGTCCGAGAACCGCGGGCACACAATGTCTGAGAACCGCGGGCACACGGTGCTGGAGAACCGCGGGCACACGGTATCTGAGAGCTGCGGGCACATGGTGCCTGAGAACCGCGGGCACACGGCTAAGAGGCTTATGTAAATAACGATTATTATTTTGTACATGGCTCTCTCTGGTCCCATCTATTCTGATCTCAGTAAATCAGGGTGTAATCAATCACAGAGAATTAATTGTTGCAGGACAAAGACTGGGAAATGCAGTAGAAGCAATACTCTGGTTGGTTTTGATTTAAAATAGGCTTGGGTTATCTGTCCGAATGATATGACAGCTCTGCTTCTCACTGCCAGCTGCTCTTGTTGCTCTCAGAAATCAGTGGAATTATTGTTTCAAGTTTTGGGGTTGTGCTTTTTATTTCTTAAAGATTCTTATTTAAAAAAAAAAAAAATAGAGATCTTTATAAATCATCATGTTCTTTTAGGGCTGTAAGCCCCAGAGTGTCTCAGAGTTGTAGTGGCCCTGAGCGGCAGGCTTGGGTCTCCCAGCCTGGATCATGCTGCTGACACAGGGCTTCACATATCTCTGTTATTCTTGTGGTGTTTATTAGTGCAGACCTGTGGTCTGTGCTCTTCTCCAGCCTTTCAGCCTCCCCAAAAGATGGGGTGTGTGGAACTGGTGAGCACAGCACTGTGGTCCTTGTGGAGCCAGGAGACCTGAGTG